AAGTCAACGTCAAGTTATAAGCGTTATTAACACCAAATATACCTGACGATGCTCTTATCACGCGCAGTAGAAACCATCTTCCCACTGCTGCAGAAGCTAACATCCACGGTTTTCCTTCTCTCCGACTCTTTAATCTTAATGTACCAGATTTTTTCCTGGATTGGCTGCTTTGCAAACGCCAGCCAATAGCTTGTCAAGTCAAAAAATCTGTGAATAGATGAATTTTCCATGAATACGTTCCAGAAATAGGTGATTCTGTGAATACTGAACCGTGGATAAAAAGACCTCCCCCATGACCGCTCATACCACACCATACCACTTAGGTTAAACTTCTTCGTTGGTTAAATACCTGTAGTATTAGTATTATAACTAGTTGAAATGATGGAAAGAGGAGATTCAGTGGTCTGGCCCACTTAAGGTTAAAGTGGGCTCTACACACCTTTGACACACCTGATCTAGACAAAACCAATCAGATGAAATCAATTTTTAAGTACCTAGATTGAATCACAGAAAGAAAGACAGAGTCTATGTCAGTAGACAGAGTCTACTGACATATTCAAGAAGTTGTGCAAAAGCTCCACGGGGGTTCATTTGCTAGCAGGTACAAGAATGGATGTCTTGTCTTTGTCTACTATACTGTTTATTATACACAGTTCTGCTGCTAGGAGTTTCTCCGTTTCACAGACTGTGCTGCAATATGGGTTATAATAATACATAATTATTTCTGTATCAAAGCCAATCTTTTGAAAGGGGGCAAAAGGATAATTTGCAAAAGGGAAGTACTTAATCTAATCTTTGTTACAGTTTTCATCATTCCAGTCAGCTAAAGGTCTTTGTTAACTTAACAACTCACACCCATAAATGAAAGAGCCGATCACTCAGCTGAGGCGGACGCGTTGCCAGTGCTATGACATGCATCAGAAACGTTGCCAGTGGCGCTACAGTCTGTCTGACTGTAGCGTGTTTCTGGAGTGCTCCGCCATTTGAAAGTGTAGATGGAGCTGAAAGATTTCCCTCTAGATCCAGCACCGTACAGTATGGCTCGGAGGCAAACGCACACGCATTTCTCAGTTGTTTCACAGCTGCACTTCTAACACCCATAAAAAGTACGAATATCACGAAAGGGAAAGTGAAGGTGGTTGTCTTAAATAACACCCATGTGACCTACTTCTATTATCCAGCTGACAGCTCTTTGTTCACACAAGCTGGGAAAGACCCTGCAGCCCAAGCCCCAAGTGCATTAGATTGATCCTGCTCTATCTTTAACTGTTTCCTCTAGTTGTGCGAATGCCTGTTTTATGTACAGTGCTGGAGCGTGATGGAGAACTTCTGTAATGATCCTTCTAAGGAAAAGCTGCCATGTTCGATGAAAAATAACACATCAATAAAGCACGTAATTCGAGTTTTTACAAAGTGGTTTTCTGCCAAAATGACCCTCCTTTTTCCACATTTTCCCTCAGGTCCTCACCACTGCCCAGTCTGAACAATGTCAGTATTATGTTAGCTCCCGGGCAAAAAGAAAGGAGAGTTGAAGTCCTTGATACAAACAGCAAAAGGTAGCTAATGAAGAGATTGGCGCTCCTTGTTGTTAGTGCTCTCTATTGAAAGTCAATACAAGAGCCCGATTCACATAGATCACTTAAAATTCTGGAGGAGAGGCTAAGAATACACAGTTGATACTTGGTTATAACAGGAGCCCTACATTCTGGTAATGATACTGCTTAGTTGTCTTGTGTCTTACACTTGACCTCTGACCCCTCGCTCGTGCAGCAGTGACAAGGCCGTCAACTAAACTGATGCAAATATGACATTCACGCTGACAGCGCGGATTCAACTCGATGCAGTTAATCAGCTTCCATCTATTTGTCCAAGATTACGCCATCGAACGTGAGACAATGAAAGCACTTAATAATGTGGAGGCAATTCAAATCCACTTCAGGCTTGCTGTATCAATCACAGGCACGCACACATAAGCGGATCGTCGGTTCAGTCATGGGACTTGGATATTTTTGCTGATTTGACCCTGCGCTTTGTGTGAAACCTCGCAGTGTAATGCAGTTATATTTCTGCTCTGCATTTGAAAGATGATAGGAGTGGCTTGGTTGTCATGCCAGAGCTTTCAAAGGACTCTTTGTGTAGAAGCGTCGGTCATAGCCAGAGACATCCTCCTGGTATTTATTCTAGAGTTCCTCCAGATGCTGCAAATTGAAGCCTATCAAATTGGGCCACATTAAAGTCCACTTTCATAACATTGTTGCTCCACAAACTTTTAATGATTCCCAAACAAGGGTTAGTTAAGGGGTATGTTAAAGACTGTATCTAGGGTAATCTGAATCTATCTATCTATCTATCTATCTATCTATCTATCTATCTATCTATCTATCTATCTATCTATCTATCTATCTATCTATCTATCTATCTATCTATCTATCTATCTATCTATCTATCAGATAAACAAATATAGATCTATGTGTCTATCTGCCAAGTTTGGAGTAGTTTGCATCAAGAGTTCCTTTGATAGCCGAAGAGCAGACAGAGACACATCTACCTAACGTTCATCTCACCATCAGTCTAAGATGGTGGTAGTAGTGTGATGGTCTGTGACTGCTTTACTGCTTTAACACCTGGACAACTTGCTGTAATTGATGAAGCCAGCTCTCTACTAGGAAATCCTGAAGGTAAATGTCCACCCATCAGTTCATGCCCTGAAGGTTAAGCAGTCTTGTGTTCTGCAGGAGGGGGTGACTGTAAATGCAACAACAAGTCCTCGTCTGAATGGTTAAAAAAAGATGAAAGTTTTTGGAGTGGCCCTGTCAAAGTCTGGACTTAAATCTGATTGAAATGCTTTGGTGTAACCTTAAACATGTCGCTCATGCTCAAAACCCTTCCCATGTGGCTTATTTTTAAAAGATCCTGCAAAGACCAGCGAGCCACAATTCATCCACAGCGATGTGAAACTAATGCACTTAATCAGGTCTCCCAACAACACACCTCCCAAGTTTGGAGTAGTTCAGGTGAAAATTTCTTTAGATGGCTGAGAAGAACATAAATTATGGATTTTTGACAAGAAACTAAAGGCGTTGGACAGATAACCTGTTGACATATTTTCTTGTAGCTGATAAATAAAACTAAACTAAATGTAACTGTCTAAAATGCTTGTCGATAAGTGAGAATCCAAGTGGAAGAACAATTAATAGTGTTAAAAAACTTCTAATAAAAGCATCAACTGACTGGAACATAAGGAGGTATTTAAGTGTGACACGGGTGTACACCTGCCAGGAAAGGTTGGCAACGTCTGCCCTACACAGATACAAGAGCATCTAACATGACTCAGAAACAGATTAAGACATTGATTTAAACTCAGCAAGGAACACTTGAGCAGCAGCCAGCTGCTCATTCGCACAGGTCACTGAGGAGATCTGTCTGTCCATGTAGGGGTAACCCTCATGGATGCTGGGGTCAGATGGCTGTGATCTTTTTGTTGCTATCTGCATTAGGAAAGCATGCTTGATTTAACTGTTATCAGGCAAAAATAGGGTACAGTAGCAGGCAGCAAGCTAGAGATGCATAAGACAAATGTGGCATCCTTTGTAATTAGATTAGTATGGGTTGGAAGATAAGCTGTAATCAATTGTAGTGGTCAGTCCGAGCCTTCACAGATTTAGTTTGCATGGATCGCTAACAAAAAAAGGAACACAGACATCACTTTTCAGGGGTTTTGGATATTTCATGGCTGGGAAAAAGAATGAATGGGTAGAAAACAGCACTCTGTGTGTTTTGGATGGCAGTTCTGTGAGTGGTAATGGTGCTTAGGGAGTAAGGAGAGCGCTCATGAAAGAGACAGGCGTGCATCTTTGTGGGCTGAATGAGAGAAGCGAGCCAGCTCTCTTTGGGTAGTTTAGGGTCTTATGGGAGAAGAGAAATGTGTTATTTCCAGACAGTGAGAAGGAAAGTGATGATGCAGCAGATGAAAAGAGGAGATGAATTGGATGTTACATAACTTGACCAGTTTTCCAAGGTTTCAGTTTGAGGGAGTCTGAACTGTGAGCTTTTTACTGCCAGATCAAAATGTGTGTATGGTCAGGAAGCACGTTTTACATATATCCTGCAATCTATAAAAGCTTAACAGTACCACTGTAAATTAGCTTTAAAGTGCCCTTACACTGCACTCACAGTGTGTCCTACCACAGAAATGGGTTAATAGAATAATAAGCCTAATTAATTAAAAATAATCATAAAACGGTGACTTTGAAATAATGAAACAATCAGTTCTGCGAAAGGAAGAAAAAACATCTGGAAGTTGTATAATATTTTCTACGCTGTCAACTTAAATTTAAATTGAAGGTAATGATTAATGCAGCTGCATTCATAAAACAGTCCTGCTCCGAAGAAATTCAGAGCAACAACATGTAACTTGGCAGAGAAAGTGCGTGTGGGCACATGGACCGAGCGATGCTGTAAGTAGAAGCAAGAATACATCCGACAAGGGGGAGTTTCTCCACGCAAAGCGCATGCAATCCCTACAAAAATTCCCAGTGACTTCAGATCCAAGGAGGTGGTGATACTCATGCGAGCACGATTCAAACTCTCTCACTTAGAGTAAGAATACAGCCTCAGAGCCCAGAGCCAGCGCGCTGCTCTCTTTGCCCCTCTTTTCTTGTTCAACATAAACTAAAGAGACGCAGATAGAATAATGTTTGCGTAAAACAGCATCTTTTTTCAGCGCGGGGGAAAGAAAAAAGCTGATAGTGTTTTCGGACTGTAGAAAAGTAAAGACTTGATAACCTGAAGACATTCTGTTTACGTCTTACCTGGGCATTATGAAGAGGTATCCGGGCATTTTTCATAGTTGGGAGAGGATGCGGTCTTGCTGAGCTCGTGTAAAACGGTTTCTCGTTTTATTTGTATTTTCTTCTTCGTTTTATTTTTTATTTTTTTGAGTTGCTCCTATTTCAGTGGCTCTTGATAGAAACGGTAACGCGTGTGTCCTTTTACGCGGTAGTTTCAAAAAATTTTGCATGCCCAAAATGGACCGTGCAGGATTTGCTCTTTTAATGATTTTGACTGTTGTGCTCGTGCGAGTTGGTGACGGTCAAAGGGACGCGGCAGGTGGGAGGAAAGAGGGTGCGGGGGCAGGCCGGGCGGTCTGGGACCAGCTGCAGTCCCGGGGGATCAGTCGAGGTCACTCGCCGAGGGGACCGCGGGACGGTTCGTCCTCGAGAACATCCAGTGACTCTTCACCTGGGACCAGTCAGTCGAGGACTCTGGTCCGCCTGCCCAGGGGGACATCATCTCAGGAGAATCGCAAGCACATATCCAAAGAAAGACCGGTCCATGCTGCTGCCACCTCCGGGGAAGATCTTGTCTCTGCGCCGAGGGATGGTGCGCGGCGCACCGCCAGACACCCTACCAGCCAGCAGCAGCGAAACAGAGTGAACCGCAGGCAGAGCAGCAGGCACAGCTCTGCCAGCACTAAGCGACTTATCGGGTAAGAGTGACGGCCAAGTTCCCCACTGTCAGCAGTCTAAAAGTTTTACTTTGCTTTATCAAACTCTGGGTGAGCAGCAGTGGGCTACTTTAGGAGGAACGTGTGACCTATTTAGCTGTAGCGGTTAGTCCATGTGATTTACTGCAAAGTGATGGTGGCCCCTTTAGCGTAATCTTTCTTCCTGTAAGGTAAATCAGCACATTCCCCCAAAGCACTCCGTATACTGCATTAATTTGTCAACCAGTAGGTGACAGCTTTAAGCCAACTAAATATGAATTATAATAACGTATGGGTTTTGTTATCAAGGTCATGGCAGAACATGAAATAATAGCTGAGGTCAAACACCGTTGATTACTGGGCTGATGTGGGGGCAGTAATGAACAGCAAATGTGATGCATATGGGTGAACTGTGTTTGAACTATTTAACATTGCATTATCACCATTTCCTCCCATTACTACACACAGTATATTCAAATTGCAGGAGGAGAGTGGCTGCAGCCTGCTTCAGTGCGAGTGCTCCAGTTTTAGGCTTTTGCCTGTGGCCATGTATTGTAGTGGCTCCACCAAAGCGTTGGCTGGTGAGCATTTAAAAAATTTGCTCGGTGATCAGAAACACCTGTTTCTCCAGTGGCACTCGCTCCAGCCTGCAAATCTCCTGTTGGGTCTCTGTTAAACTCTAAACAGGACAACGGGCTGTTTCCATATTAGACCTCTTTTCTTTTTGTTAAATGAAGCCTCCTGCATCCACTCCTGTTTGTTCCACTGGGACAAAGCTTGATACACACTGGAGGGTGAATGTTTACATAATAATCAGAGGGAGATTTGAACGGCTCATCTTGGACTGCTGTCACAGAAAATATATAAAAAGCATTTCTTCTGTGTGGCATAACAGGTCTATTATTGATATGTCCAAGTTATGGAGGATTGTTTAGAAGAAATAGATGGGCCTGCATATGATATGCACTTACAGCCTGCTACCCCAGCTACCTACTTGCTACTGACTCTACTGTAATGCCTTTGGTGAGCAGGACCTTGAGAAGTAGCATGCCCCACTAAACTCACGAGGCTTCACAGACAGGATATGATGATGTCAGCGCTCACATGTACCTTTCTCTCTGCGTAGCAGATGTGTTATGTTGTTTTGGTCTGAACCATTAAACCTGAAAAAACCAGCACATTCGGACCAATCCATCACTCAGACATCGAGGTGCTGTCTGTTTAAAGCAGCGTGCAAAGAAAATCGCTCGGCACAGGATTAGATCCAACATGCTTTATTGCAGGATAGGGCGAATGCCTTACTTGATGTTGCCAAAAACACATATTCCAGCGTTGAATGAATGGGGTTCTTTGAGTTTTCGAGCAACATAAAGGTGGGCGTTGCGTAAATCTGCGGGAACATTACCTTTTAGTAGTCTGCGTGGTGATTTTAACACTTATTAGTTCAGATGAATCATCTGCTGCTTGTTAGAGAAAGTGTTCGCATGACACATTTCCTCTTTGGAATTCCCACTCGCTCATTTACCGTACCCCGCAGCACTGGCAGAGCTGGGCTCACTTAGCTCTCCTTTACATTAAACTTGACTCAGTGTGACTCCTCTTTCTGTTTTCGCTGCACCTGTCAGATAGGTGATTGATCCAGATAGCTCAGCGGTGAAATAATTCTATGCCTCCTAATGTTAAGGTTTAAATAAAAATATAACAAGGTGCGAACAAGGTGTTATCTACCTATATTTTAGCCTAGGGCATGCTACTAATATGTTGTATGAAGGTCTCCATTACATGCATAAATCCCTTGATGGAATTTGAACGTGATGACTGATGTCTTTGGCACGAGCCTGACCTGATGTGTTTGATTTATGACAAAACTAATCTTGCCAGAGGGTCCAAATAACTGCATTTTATCCCTGTGACGCCTCAGTAACACTCAGAGCATCCACTGAGCGCGATCCAACTGAGGTCAATGAGTCAATCCCCGTTATCTTCTCAAATCACCATGAGTCAGACATCCACTTACTGTAATATCTTGTGAAAAGATGATGGGGCACAGAGCCATGCCAGCGTGTTGACTGTTGCCCCAGAGTTGCTCTTGCGGTCTGGTGCCTTTTCATCTATCTCGCCGCAAAAATTGGCCTGGACTACCAGTTAGGATTAACGAGTAAAAGAATCCAGATATAGCTGTTTAAAACTTGTCATCTCTCATTTGCTCTATGATTTATAGAAGATGCAGGGTGTTTTTTCGTGTCCCGTTTGCCTCGCTTAATCCTTCCAGGGCTCAGATAACTCTGTATTTGTCTTCACCCTGGACTCTCGCATAACAGCACGAGGGACTTGTGGGTCCACACGCAGATAAAGTTTCGTGACTTGCCCTGAATTTTTTTTTCATTATTAAATAAAATGCAATTATAGCGTAATCTCCAAGTTGTTCCTATCAATAGCCTAGCCACATCAGAAGGATTTGAAACCCTTAACAGCCTTTGCAATCAGATCAGTTTGTCATGCGAGGAGGTTCACCCTACTCACAGTTATTGCCTTGTGATTAACACCTGAGAAAAAGAACTTTTATTTCACCCTGTTTTTCTCGTCTTTTGTGATCTTTTGTTCAGGCCGAATGTCTGTGGAGGTCAGCAGTGCTGCTCTGGTTGGGCTTTGGCACCAGGAACCAACCGCTGCATAAAACGTAAGTGTCGTTAACTCAGTACCCTGTGTAAACTTTAAATAAACGTACCTTGCTTGGATATCCTTTGATTTGGCTGCTCAGTTTGGCAACCGAGGACACACAAATTGGTGAAGCGGCACACAAGCACACTGCCATGCATTATATAGAAGAGAACTTCCTCTGCTAGTAAACTTTGCAGACAGAGAGGCTTTACAATCTAAGGCCCTCAGACTGAAAAATAACATAGTAAATGGCTACTAATGACTATCCTGTCAAGCGGAATTGCCCTATGAAAGTTTTCCCTGAGTGTTATTGCCCCCATGGTCATGTTCATCATGCAGTGTTTGCCTTTTTCTTTTCATGTAAGACCCTCGCTTGGAAATTACCGACACTTAGCACTTGGCTGTCTTTGTGACAGCAGTCCTTAATTATGGGTGGAACTGCTGCTTCTTTTTATTCGACCGCAGCAGTATTGAATAACCAGATAATTAAAAGTGGAACAGAAGACACAGGCTGTGAATGAATGCAGAGCCATATCTTTAAAATGTAACACTGACCTGGGCTGAAAAAGCGCTTTTCAGCCCAGGTCAGTGTTGCTGTTTCTTTCTTTAGCTTGCATATGGACTATCTCTGGTAGGGCTGCCACAAACGATTATTTTGATAGTCGACTAGTCACCGATTATTTTTGCGATTAGTCGACTAATCAGATCATCATCCATTGGACGCAAAACTACAGCTTATTGCACCAGCAGCATCTGCTCTTATATAACTATCATTAGCTTACAGCTTTAAGTGTTTAAGGTCTGTGCTAACTAAAAATAAAGACAAGATGATAGTTTATTAAATTTTAATGAAATTTGCGGATTGTTTCGGTGAAGTTTAATAAACTCCTTGCTATCTAAAATATAACAGGACACTGGAGTATATTCTGGAGCATCTCACACTTCTGATAATCAGCTGTCTGCTTGACGTTTATTCAGCTGTGTAAAAACTATAACTTTAATCTCAGACAAACTGATTTACTCAGGAACAAATAAAATACTGAAAAAAAGCCAAACAATAACATTTTAAGTTATCTAAGTGACTCATATATATTTAACCTGAGTAGCGAAAGATGGCGGTGGGTTTGAAAACGATTTGCTGGGAGTCCGGTGCTCTCACGGCGCTAGTGACCTAGCCCCCGGCTCGCTAACGAGCTAGTGGGTAACAGATGTCTCCGAAAACGTCGGAGCGCTTTTGAAAATATGTGGTGTCCTGATAAACTGAGCCGATATTTGAGGTTTACACAGCTACATTCTCGCCTGAAAATATGTTAAACGTTTATTTTGTGACCCAGAAAGAATAATAAGAGTAACATTAAAACTAACTAGCTGCCGCCATTGTTGGAAACTGCGCTGGGCCGCGCTATGAATTCTGGGACACAGCTGCTTCTTCTTCTTCTTCGGGGTTTAACGGTAGCTGACATCCTTGTACATGCAATGCTGCCATCTTCTGTTTCAGTCCGTTATTACACTCTTAAATCCTGCTACTTATTCCTGCGTCTTTTGTGATCTTACAAAGCTTCAAACGACGCGTCGACTATTAAATCAGTCGTCGACGATTTTGATAGTCGACGTAATCGTGACTAGTCGACAAATCGTGGCAGCCCTAATCTCTGGGAGAAAATCCATTTTTTAGACATGCTATTTCAGATGATCCTAAAGTAAGATTGCTGCAACTCATTCCACATTTGGTTCTTGCATGTTGTGCTGTAGGCAAAAATAACAGGTTGGAATGAAAAACCTTTTTTTTAGTAAAAGTTATCTTTAAATTTTACAAGCGCAGTAAAACCCACACTGTTAAGTGACATCCAGTAAAACTGGCCATGGTTTTTTCTTTGACTTGTTTACTGTTTTCTCTGTTTTGTTTCTGCTAATTATCTCCCCCTCACACACGCAACCCCGTTTCACGCACATTTCAGCGAGCTGATTGGCTCCAGCGGTCTTCTTATTAGATCTGCCTCCCTCGTGCTCAACACAAAGCTTCCCTCCATTTTTCCCCCCCTCCCTCAATGCAGAGTTAAAGGCACACTTACCAAGGCGTAAATTACATTTAATGTGGAGCTGGAGTTACCTAAATTAAAAGAGTAAATACTTTTAATCTGCCAGATAATAACAGGTTCAGCCTAGCGCCCCTATGTTAAACAAGGCGGAGGATCTGAGCAGGCCAGGGGACTGTCTGACCATCTGGACCCTCTTACGGCTTGGCCCTGACCCAGGTCTGACTGGAGGCTATGCTATCATCAGCTGAGTGAAGCGCCACAGCCGGCAAGGTGCCAACATAAAGGCCCCAGACTGGAGCGCGGACTGGAAGCCCCCATGTAGAAGACCTCCGTGGAGGAAAACAAGCTCAGGATATCTATACTTCGTCTTTGCCCGACATCCAGCCTGCTTTACTGGGAGAGGGCAACCTGAGAAAACATGTTCACAGTGGGGGAAAGAAAAGGAACAAACGTGCCGGGCGGGAGCAAGAAGTAAAAACATAACGTGGCTGAGTTGTGTCTAGGAAATTTTCACTGAAGGGATTGAACTATTGTCTAATACAAAGTGGCGGCTGAGGGCTTCACCCGCGAGGCTGCATTGAGTGTCTAGAATCACGCTTTCCTCACAATACCTCCTTGTTCAGTTGCGTTGAGGTCAGAGAAAACGTGACAGGAACTGGATCACAGGTCGTCCCGGGAGTGCGCCTATTTTTACGTTTAAGAGCCGTGTTTATTAAAAGGTTGACGTCTCAGTCTCGGTCGTGCGTCTGATTAGAGATCGTCATCTGGTTCACTAAATCCTCGGTCCTGCCCACATCCTGGAAGGTTTGGTGCTGACTATCTCTGTTTTCAAGTTCAGGATTGATGGTTAGCAGACTTGTTTATGTATTAAAGCAAATTCCATGTGCCAAAAATAGCCAGCGAGTTCTGACTGTTAGGCTTTGAATCATTGAGAAGAACATTGCATTTCCTCTGCTGTGTCATGCTTGTTCGCCTTCTGGTGAAGTTAACTGCCTTTATTACAGATGAAAGCTTATAGGCTTTTATTACCACAGTTTTACCTAAAGAATATTAATTTTATTTATGGTGGCTTATAACCAAAGATGTGTGTGTGTGTGTGTGTGTGTTGCGTTTGGCTGGTAAAGTGAGGCCAGGTGCAAGCTTGGCTATATTTCCATCTGTTTACTCGTAAGTAGAATCGAAGCTCCTGGTGAGTTAAATGGGGAATCTTGTTTCTGGGTCAGCACTTAAGACTTAGTTCCTCAGTGTGATGATTCACATCTGTTCATCAAAAGTGCAGTTGCACAGAAAAAGGAGCAGAAGGAGCCCATATTGTAGCTTCACTACTAATAGCCAAGCAGCAGCCTTGCCTTAGTTATAAGACAGTGTGCTCCATTACTGGTGCTGTCAACAACCTCGTGACTATCTGCAGCTCTCAGATGGAAAACTGCAGATAGTTCATGGTCAAAACTCTAACTAAAACATAAGAATTTCCATCAGTTTAAAGTGTTGTTTTAACCATCAGCTCGACTAAATACATCAATAAGTAGTAAACCATAAAAACGAGAGAAAGCAGCATGTTTGTTTAGTACCGACAATCTGTTGCACCGGCTTCTAAATAACCACTATTTACAAAACAGTGAGATACTTAGATATGGAATTAGAGGGGAAGTTTGAACTGCTGGCATGTTTTAGAATAAATACAGTAACCCTCAATTAGACGTCTTGTACACCAGCGTAAAATTACTGTTTTAAAGTTTTGGTTTAAAACACGTTTTGAAAAAAAGAACCCAAACTTTTAAAGCCCCCTGTAACCGGAATGTAGATTTAAATCACACTACTGTGTTTTTTCCACTCATATCTTTGCGCTCATGTGGCTGGCAGTAAATCATTTTGTGGATAGGGTACTACGGATTGCTCACACGGGGGTTTTTTTGTGCCAAAATGGAAGCAGTTTACTGTAGTTTGTTTAGTAGCAGCCACAGATGCTCTGTCGGGCTGCACCTAAAGCAGTCCTGCTAATATGCACAGAGTGATAATGTTAGCATGACGACTGCAGCCCTGAGCTTGTTTGCTACAATGCAAATGGGCAGCTCAGTACCACAGGGCATTCAGTGCTTCCTAGCCCAGGATCATGCAGTCAGTGTGATGTCCGTTTATGACCATGTGAGAACTGACCTGTGAATTCGAGTGGTCGTCATATGTGTTACATCCTGTGTGCTCAGTCTGAGCTCCATCCTGTTCCTCAACAAAACTGAGTATTTCAAGCAGAGAGAACACTTCTAAGGAAGGCCACCTTCTTTTGTGTGCTACATATGAGAAAGCACGGTCCCAATCTGAACTCTCTGAGTTCATGTGTTGAGTGACTATGCCGATGATTACCAATTATTATATGCATTTCATTTAGAGCTAAACATAAAACATAAAACACAGCTGTAGCTGATGAGGATTCTACAAATAGGTGAGGTATTTTCTCATAAAGCCAAACTGAAGGAAAAGGACACGAACATCTTTATAAAATTTCATCAAATACTTATGTCACTTAAAATTGAACAGTGTACACCTCATTATGGCAGCAGAGAAGACGGGAGAAGACAGATGTTCTTTATTTTAAAAAAGAAATAGAAATTTATTCAACTGCTGTTGAAATATTTCAGTCCGCGTGCTGAAAAGGATGGCTTTCCTGGGGCAACCATATCACCTCAGTTGTACGGAAGGCCCAACAGCGCCTCTACTACCTGAGGAGACTGCGGAGCGCACACATTCCAGATCTCTGATGTTGAACTTCTACAACTGTGCCATCAGCAGCGTTCTGAGTATGGATTTCTAGTGTGGTTCCCCAGCTGCACCAAGGCCGATCAGCAAGCACTCCAGGGGTGGTGGAAAGAAGCTGGCAGAATTTGGAACAAGTCTGCCAGAGATCAGTAATATCTTCCCCATCGCTGTCTGAGGAGGGTGCACAGTATCCTGCGGGACCAACATCACCCTGCGCGCACCTTTC